CCCTTCCTGCACGTTCCACCCTCCCTCCCTCCCCCCAGGCTGTCTCACCCATTCACTGGCCCCTCTCCTCCCTATCCCCCTGAGCTCAATATGCACACACCCTCTGTCTGTGCAAGCGAGAGGAGCCTAGAACGGGGGCTGCGGGGAAGGCTGGCAGCAGGGCTGGGGTCCCCGCAGGAGAGGTGGCCGAGGGAGGGGAGTCCAGAGCCAGCAGAGTGAGTCAGGCACCTCCACTGGGGTTACACATCCCAGGGCGTCGGGGCACTGGAAGGCGTGTCCCTGGCCTTCCGCCTGGGCCCCGGCACCCCCACCCCGCATCCCACAGCCCCTCTTCTCTCCCTGCTCTCAGGACCCACAGTGACCACTCTAGGCTCCTATGAGGTGTCCGAGGGTTGTGAGAGAAAGAAAGGTCAACGCTGGGGGTCCCTGGAACGGCGGGGGATGCAAGCCATGGAGGGTGAGTTTCCCCAAAAGGCTCTCTTTCTTCCCCAACTCCCTTCCCTCCTCTGTCTGACCCCCAAAGCTCCCAGCTAGGACTCTGCCCTTCCCTAAGTTCCTCCCAGCCCCTCCTCCTTCGGATCAGAGCTCCAACCCTCCCCAGGGCTCAGCCTTTGACAGGAGTTCAGGTGCATTCCTTTGGGGCCTCAGTCACCCAGCAAACCAGGATGTGTGTCCCGGGGGAGCTGCCAGACACAGAAAGAGGCCTCCTTGGACAGAGCTTTGAAGCCGCCTTTCAGCAGGGGATTTGTTCTCACTGCCAGCCGACCCAGATCCCAAGCTGTCTCTGGTTGTATAAAGCAGGGAAGTGGGCATGCAAGGTGTCTTTCTGGGGCCACCACCACTGGTTTCAGATGGAAGGCTTGAGGCTTTGGTCCTCTAGGATAGCTGAGTGCCTGAAAGAGAGAGCCTGGGAGGGGGGCGGGTGAGGCCAACCTCCCAGCACACGTGTATCCCTACCACACCCATGTGACTTGGCAGTTGCTGCCAACACCAGGCCCCTGGAAGGCTGCTGGTCCATTTTCCAGGACTTCCTGTGAAGTGTTGCACATTGCACATTCATGGTGGGCAACCCTGCCCCCCCTAAGGGGGACAGATGGCACCAGGGGTCCCAGATGAGGCTGCTGTTAGAAAAAGTAAGACCAGAAATTCAGAATTTTGAAACAAAGCAAAATAATCACCTTCCAAATTTTTTTGCTATAAACAGGAAATGTATTACAGTAAAGGAAGGGGTGCCCACCAGCCAGTGTGGGGCCAGCACCAAACCATGTTTTTCTTTTATACACAAGTCCAGCCTAAGACTTCCCCTGAAAACCACCTTGTGGTCAGCAGGGCAGGAGGGGCTTCTTAATGCTCAGAGAGGAGAGACCTCAGGACACCCAGTGGGTGAAAAGCAAGGTGGACCTTGTAGAAAATCTCAAGGGGTACTTGGTAATATACATGTGAAAGGGCTCCAGTGTTTATCCAATAAAACCTTTCAAATCATTTCCTTCAGATGTTTTATTTCTCTATTTGCTGGCAGGCAACACTTTATTATTAAGGAAAGGCCACCTAGGTCATTTAATGATCTGCAAACCCCAAAACTGTAACTGTTGCCCCACTTGAGACCCACCCAGCATCTGATTCCTTTCCTGACACCCTGTCCCGCTTCTCAGAGACCAGCCTAGAAGGAGGCATCCTTTTGCAAGTGTCACATGGCTGCGCAGGCACCAGCTGTTCTACTTGCCCACAGGCAGCAGGAGGAGGCTGCCAGGTGCAGTGTTGGTCCAAAAAAGGCCTGTGAGGGGGAGGGACTGCCTCCAGACTTGACCTCACACCTGAGGACTCATCCTGAGTACAGGTCTCGCCCCAGGGCTCCTTGGGGACACCAGGTGGCACTGTGAGACCATCTCTATCCTGGGATAGTGAGCTTGAAGGCCCTGGAAGGGCTGTGGAAAGAAACCTGGTGCTGACTCCCTGGCGGGACGTGTGTCTCTCCTAGGGGAGGTGTTACTCCCAGCTCTCTATGAGGAGGAAGAGGAAGAGGAAGAGGAGGAAGAAGAGGTGGAAGAAGAAGATCGAGTGCAAAAAGGTGGCAGCATGGGCTCCCTGTCAGTCAGCAAGCACCGGGGCCTGAGCCTGACAGAGACGGAGCTGGAGGAGCTGAGGGCTCAGGTGCTCCAGCTGGTGGCAGAGCTAGAGGAGACCCGGGAACTGGCGGGGCAGCATGAGGATGACTCCCTGGAGCTGCAGGGTGAGTGTCTGGGTGGGCCTGGGGCCTGCGCCAGAGACACTGTATTCCCCTGGTTCTGAACCTGACACTGGCCCCCCTCCCTGCAGGCCTCCTGGAGGATGAACGCCTGGCCAGCGCCCAGCAAGCGGAGGTGTTCACCAAGCAGATCCAGCAGCTCCAAGGTAATCTAACTCCCAGGACTCGCACTGGAGGGAAGTGGCCATCCAAGTGGTCACTCAGGTCCTTTTTTACTGGGGGTCTGGCTGAAGCATAGCAGACAAAAATAACCCATTTCAGACTTTCACCTCCTTTCCTTTCTTTCTTTTTTTTGAGTTGGAGTCTCACTCCATCGCCCAGGCTGGAGAGCAGTGGCACACTCACAGCCACCCCAGCGTCAACCTGCTGACTCAGACAGTCCTTCCACCTCAGCCTTCCAAGTAACCAGAACTACAGGCACACGCCACCACACCCAGTTATTGTTTTGATTTATTGTAGAGATGAGGTCTCGCCAAGTTGCCCAGGCTGTTGTCAAACCCATGGGCTCAGGCAATCCCCTCACCTCAGCCTCCCAAAGGGCTCAGATTACAGGCTTGAGCCACCATGCCTGGTCTCACCTCTTTTTCCTCCAATGTTGTACCCTGTTCTTGTCTCTCCGCGCTCCTCTTTCCCGTTTTCCTCTGAATCTCCACGGAGCTCTTCCTTCCTCCCCCTCCTTTCTTGCCCTCCCATCCCATCTCTCTCTCCCTGGTTAACCTTTACCCCGTTTCCCCTTCAGCCTCCTCCTCCACACTGTATTCCTGTCCCCTCATTCTCCTGGTCAGCACCAGAGGAGGGTGATCAGAGCTGAATTCCAAGCCAGCTTCCATATCCTGTCCCACCAAGGAAACCACGGGCAAGGAGCCAGTGAGAAGGGACTGGAGTGGCCTCTGCCTCTGTTAAGGGGGTAGAGAAGAATGCTTCTCTTGCTCCCCAGGACCTGAGCTTGTGGCCCCAAAATCTCTTTCTTCCAACACCCACATCCCTTTGTCTCTGGGAAGCAGCAAGGCAGGCGTCCCACATTCTACTTCGCCACCAAATAAAGAGGCAGCTTTTGTTGCTTCTGCAGGCTTCCGGAAGGTTTAGGGGAGCTGCCCTAGAAAACAGCAGGGACTCTTTAGGGGGAACTGAGATCAAGCCAAAAGAGAAGTATAAATGGAGAAAAAAGGAAGGCTGGGAAGCAGGTCTGGAGCAAGGAGAGGTGGATGCAGGGCAGGTGGACAGTGAAGGGGGACATGCAGAGGGGGAAGTGGCAGCACAGGGAAGAGTGTGGGCCTTGGTCTCAGATCACCGCAATTCTTGTGCCCAGCTCTACCGCTTACAGATTTTGTGATCTTGGGCAAGTCACTTTCATTTTTCTGAGACTTGGCTTCTTGTCTATAAAATGGGACTTATTAATTTGGCTGTCTTTCTACTTGGAGGACCAGCTATGAACAAGAAAGAGCCTGCCCTAATGAAGACTACATTCTAATAAGGAGAGGTAAAAAATAAGCTGGGCGTGGTGGCTCATGCCTGTAAACCCAGTACTGTGGGAGGCTGAGGCGGGAGGATCAACTGAGCCCAGGAGTTTCAGACCAGCCTAGGCAACATAGCAAGGCTTCTTCTCTACCAAAAAAAATCAAGAAATTAGCCGGGCATGGTGGTGCATGCCTGTAATCTCAGCTACCTGGGAGGCTGAGGCAGAAGGATTGCCTGAGCTCAGGAGGTTGAGGCTGCAGTGAGCTGTGATTGTGCCACTGCATTCCAGACTGGGTGACAGAGTGAAACGTCAACTCAAAAAATAAAAGAAACAACCAAGTTTAGGTGGTGGTAAATGCTGTGAACAAAATAGAACCATATTATAGAGAGGGGATGGGAGTTTATTTTAGATACATGCTTAGAAAAGTCCTCTTTGAGAAGATGCCATTTGAGTTAAACCCTGAATAATGGAAAGGATGCAGTCATTCAGGATCTGAAGAGTGCTCCAGGCAGAGAAACCAGCAACTTCAGAGTCCAGAGGGGAGAACAAGCTTCATGTGTTTAAGGGGCAGAACAAAAGCCACTGTGGCTGGAGTAGTGCATGAGGTCTTGGTGAGAGGACCTTCGAGGCAGGCAAGGTCAGATGATGGCAGGTCTTGGAGGCCAGCTGACAGGTATGGCTTCCATTTCAAGTGTGGTGGAAAGTCATGGGAGAGTCTTGGTCCAGGCTGGGACAATGTGATTTACTTTACATTTTTAAAAGGTCACTTAGGTCACTGTGGCAACCAGATGGAGGGAAGAGACTGGAGGCTATGAGTCCTGTCAGTGGGGTATTGCAAGGGTTCACCAAGAGATGGTGGTCACTTGGATTACGGCAGTAGAAATGGAGATGAATATATTTGGAAGGTGGAGCCCTCAAGACTTGCTGATGAATGGAATGGGGGAATGAGGGACATAGAGATGACTTTACCTTGAGAAAATGGGTGGATGGTGTTGCCATTTGTTGGACTGGGGAAGACTTGGCAAGGAACAAGTTTGGGGACTAGGGGAGCCGTTTAAGACATGTTTTCTACCTGTTGAGTTTGAACTGCGGACATCCAAGTATGTTAAGGAGGCAGTTGTATGCATGAATCCAGAACCAGGAAAGAAAGAAACTAGGGCTAGAAATATACAATTGGAGTCATTAGCATATACGTAGCACTCGAATCTACCAGAGATTGTCATGCAATCACATGGAGAGACACCAGAAGAGAGAAAAGGGCCCCTCCCAGAGACACCACAGTATTTTAGATGTCTAGTGTAGAAGGAGAAACAAATAGAAGAGACTGAAGTAAGAACAACTCCTGAAGTATGAAGCATGTCATGCCCTGGAAGTCAAGAGCAGAAAGCCCTTCAAGGAGATAGTGGTCTACGGTGTCAGAAGTTGCTAAGTCAAGTGAGTCATCTACTGGATTTGGCAAGTTGGAGGACCCTGAGGCACTTCAGTGCAGACACACTCCTGATTGCATTGGGAGTGGAGAGGAAGTGGGGGTAATGGAAAAGGTGAGTACATATAACTCCATCGTTATCTGAAGAGGCAGGGAAGCAAGTGAAAAGTGGGGTCAAGGGGAGTTTTTTGTTTTTTAAGAAGGAAATGCTAGATCAGATTTGTATGATGAAGGAGAAGAGCCAGCAGAGCAGAAAAAGGTAATGATAGCTTCCGCTTGGAGAAGGGACATGCATCCTTTCAAATGGGCAGGAAGCTAGGAGATCAAAGTAGTGGTGCAGCCAGGACCCACCTGAGCAGAGTTCTAGAGCGCCGGCCTCCTCCGCAGGGTGGTTTCTGAGATCAGATATCCGCCCTGCGAGGCTCGGAGGGGTGGCCTGAGCCCCGCCCCCTCGCCGAGCCCCCGCCCCGCGCGCACGCGCGTTGCCCGTTTCCGCCTAGAGGGGGCGCGC